GTCCCCCGGACTCGCGTTCATTCTGTGTTCTCCAAGCTCGTCTTTCTATGAGCTAACAGACAACCTGTGCACAGCCAGGCCTCTTGGGTCTTGAACCCATCACCACTTGGGCCCTGAGAAAAGGAACTGCAGGGCCCATGGTGTAAGGGGCAGTACTCAGGGGTTTGCAGCCTGAGTTCGAATGTCAGTGGGCCCTGCCTGGTGAAGTGCTGCTTGGCTGCCAATCCCTGCTAATTCCTTGTCCTTAGATGCCCCCAGAATGAGTCTTTTCCCCTGTCTTGGTTGTGCTGTGGCTCTTGAGCCTCGCCAATCTCAGCACTGTGGTTCCCTTCACTCCCAGTCTGCAGCCCCTGCCAACTGGGCCCTGTGGTGTCCCTCACTCCTGACCCACAGCCCCCTTCAACTTGCCTCTGTACCTCCCAGCTTACCTGTGTCCTTGCAACACTGGGTCTGTGGGGCCCCTCACTTCCAACCTGCCAGCTCCACGGTCCCCCAATACTGCCCTTTGCTCTTCTCGTCCCCCTGTCTGCCCCCTTTGTGCCCCTCCACCCCCGGACTTGCACACCTGGCCAAGGGGCTATGGCCTCAGCATCTGGAGCACAGGGTGCCTCTGTACCTCCCAGCTTACCTGTGTCCTTGCAACACTGGGTCTGTGGGGCCCCTCACTTCCAACCTGCCAGCTCCACGGTCCCCCAATACTGCCCTTTGCTCTTCTCGTCCCCCTGTCTGCCCCCTTTGTGCCCCTCCACCCCCGGACTTGCACACCTGGCCAAGGGGCTATGGCCTCAGCATCTGGAGCACAGGGCAGTGGGCTGGAATCCCCCTGACCTCTGCTCCACCCACCATGGCAGTACCTAGCGGTACCCTGAGTAACAGCTACCCACCCTCATTGCTCCTCCCTGTGTGGGGGCAAAACCCTGACACAGGGGCTGGCACCGCCTCACCCCAGCTCCAATCAACCCCCTGCCCCCGACTTTTCCCTTCCAGCGCCCGCTCCCCACC